CCCCAAAACCCCAAAACCCCAAAACCCCATGATATAAAGATAGCATTGAAATACCTATATAAATATTTTAAGATATGAACCAACCTCATTGCAAACATAATCAGTTCTTAGAAAAGAACCAATGTCCTTGCATGACAGAGAATAATGAATGGGTCTACCCAGACAATGTTTTTGTAGATGTAGAGAACCAAACTAGTGATGTTAATAAGATTGGCTGGGGATTTGTAAACCAACTATGAAAGGCAAAAAAGAAGAATGAAGACTACAGACTTGATCTTTTAAGGAAACTTTTGAAGAATCAAGATTATGGCTGTCAGGATGAAGAGATCCTAGATCAATCAGATCATTTAGAAAATAAAGAGGAGGATCACTTATTAACAATATCTAAATGTCACAAAACACTATTGCAACATAAGATTACTAATGATATCCCTACTGGCTTCAGTGCCCAACTTGGTTTAATAAAAGAAAAAAATGATATGACAACTCAAGATTTATTAGATCAAAAGTCCTCTCTTTCCCACAGCTACAAAGAACCCGGAGCACGAAGAGACGTTAAACTCAAAACTTCTGTCAGGCAGATGAGAAGGTTCTATAGAGATATCTTCAAAAGTAAAAACAGACTACTTGTCAGAAAGAGATATGTCAACTGAAGTATTGCAGAGGTTATCAAAGGATTTCGCTCATGACTGGCAAACATAGTTCCCACAGATTTGATCACTCAAGATCTGATCTATTTTGGCATAGGAATAACTGGAATTAAGAAATCTGAAACGCTTAGATGTAGAAAAGAAATCAAGCAAGAAATTAAGAATTTCTTGCAGCTGACACGCAGGTTTTCAGAGAGGAGACTAAGAAATCTGGTCAAGTCTTGCAACATAAAAACTTTGCTAAGATATTTCATCTTGAACAAAGATACGCCAGAAAGCAGAAGACTCAAAGAGTTCATGAATTCTTTTGAGTAAGAATCCTCCTCCTAAATATCAGTCCATTACTAATTATTTTTACCAACATTTAAAGAATATGCACTCTTTGGTAGGATTTTCTGATTAACATCAGTAGTTCTTTCTGAATTTAATAATCACTATTTCTGAAAAATTGTAAGCTTGTATATAGAGCTATGTGTTCGGGTGAATATTTTAGATCAAATTTCTCCTCAGTTAGCTCTTGAGTAATTCGAAAAATAAACAGTTTTCTATCTAGTCTCCCTAATGGCTTGAAACAGTTTCATACTTCCATACCTATTCGTAAAATTTCCAGGGCTGATTACATTCAGTTTCAGCTAAACCATTTATAATACACAACACTGTTCTTACTAATGGTACATCAAAAAGTTCTCATCGCTTGCATAGCTAACAAACCAGCCAGCTAAATAATACTAAAAAAACTCGAAGCTCAACTATACCTTGACTATGTTTGGCTTCATTGGAAATAGGTTAAATAGTTGAGCGATTTTATTGGATAACTAGCTAATCTCAATTTTAACAATAGTGACTATTAAGGTAAGGGATTGCCTCTTTTTCCAGATAAATTAGAATATCTGGCTTACCATAAAGAACTTTATAACTTGTTTGTAATATTAACAGAGTTAGGTGTAAACTCATTGACCTAATAACTAAGTGATTGAAAATTTAAGAATTTTAATTAACTCCAAGATTTGCTAATTGAACATTCAGAAATTGACAAGAAATAATGATAGTAAAGCTTTGATCTTGCAAGGAAGCCTAAATATTCTTCTCTTATAAATTAGTAAAAGTTTACAAAAACTAATTGACCTTAAAAGTTTTTGGAATTAAACACCATTTATTGCGCTTTCAGTTTTCCAAGCAATGAAAGAGCCCTGAACACTTATTAATCTTCAAATGGGTTAATATTAAATATTTGAAAATTATATGAATGCTTCTGAATATTCCATGAATTAAGATAATATTTTGGCGAAGATTTTCCTATACTTGTCATTATAATTCCAAAACTTTGCGTATCTTAACTTAAATATTATTTATCAAAGAGGTCAGAGATATCCTTTTTTGTCTCTAATTGCTATCTTTCATACAAATCGACAACTTGAACTTGGAAAAATTGTCAAGAAATAATTCTCGGAATACAAAGAAATTCTCCAAGTCTTGCTTCGAGTTTAGGTCCATAAAGTCTCCCAGCTACGGCTGAGAGAAGAACTGATTCTTGCACTGAATCTGTCAGAGTTGCTTCTATTCAAAATAATTTTTATCCCTGCTTTCTCTTCTACAATTTGTTATAAGCAATAGTGATCTACAGATTGTAAGAATCCATTTGAAATTAAACCGCGAAATGTATGGAACAGAGAAGTAATATTATTTCACAGGGAAATTCCAAATAGCTTGTTTTTAATATCCAATCATCTTCCTTGGCTATTTTTCATTTATGCTACTTATACTAAGTCCATCACAGAAAGATAGAGTTCCATAATTACTCCAAAAGCTAATAATATTACCAAAAAATATCCAAGCCACTCCCTCCAACCCGGGGTTTTGGGGTTTTGGGGTTTTGGGG